GGTCACCGGCCGTGTCGGAGCAGCAGATTTATGGGCCAGGTTCCAGGGAGAGTTGGAGGTGCCGTGTCCCGTGTTTGAGAGACTCCCGGCTGCGGGAAGGATACGGGCGGGTTATAAAAATGTTAACCTGCTTTGGGTTGAAAAAGTGCAGGTGGAAAGGGATGCTCTTCAAACGTAGCGCGTACAGAAGTGGAGGGTGAGATTCTCTCCAGATGTTGGCTGTTAGTGGCTGGTTTGTTTTGCTCTTGAGTTCAAACACCTGAGTGCCAAACATTTGTTGGAAGACCAGTGGAGTGTTCTGAGTTTGCCCAGCAACCAGCATAAGCATGTGACAAGTACAAGAGTCCATCCTTGGGCAAGGCAAGAGACCTATGTCTGAAGTGATTGCCTGCTCTGAGACCAGAAAAGGAGAAGAATCACAAGATGGCTTCTCATTTGCTTGTCTATTTTCAGATTTTCTCCTAAACCCTTCACTTGCAACTTTATGTGTCAATCCAATGTTTTTCACTGTCCAGTGGTACATACTGCTTTTTCTGTCCCGGGGCGTTTGCCTCATGCATTCTCTACTCTCTCTTCTTCCCCCTGCCTTAAGAGCATTGCTGCAGGCGTTGTAGAGCCAGGCGCTGGAGGAAACTTGGGAACTGCTGCGTTGTACAAGGGCAGGGTATCACCTGTCAGCAGGTCAGCATTAGTCACCTGTGTGGAGGCTCTTGCTGCACAGCTCAGGCTCTGATTTTCAGCCATTCTTCCTGTAAATGTGCTCTAGTGAGCTTTTTCTTCATCGTAGCCTGCAAATACTAATTTCTGTGCGGTGTGCGGACTTTCTGAGCCTCCCTTTGCGAGGCAAGTTACGAACGTACGAGAGGTATGTTTGCAGGATAGTTTTTAGCAAGAAAATCTTTGCTGTATATTTGTATGTCAGGTATCTAATATTTATATTTTTCATGCAAGTGCTCATAGAACTGTTACATTTGAGTAGAGAACTGAGACTTACAGTTGCATCAGCAGAAAAAATGGAGAAAAAACCTGATCGCTGTTTTAAAGGTCATACAATAAATAATATATATGTGGTGATTTTAGTCTCTCTTTTTCCTGTTGGAAAAGGAAACTGGTGCCCCTAGCTTAGAAAATGATGATGTCTGTTCATTCAAGTGTAGGGAGGCCTAATACATACTGTTCATCAGATCTTTTGAGCAAATCAGTCGTGGTATCTTTTTTCCTGCTAGTAAACTGACACTGATACTACTTTTGTTTATAAAGTGCCCTGAGATCTGATTATGGTAAGGCATTAGGTAAATCTTTCACTTCAGATGAAGGGGAGGATGCCAACAAGTTGCTGAAACTTGCCTTTTCTATGAGGGGATTCAGTGACTGGACTTAGAAAGTTCGCTTTACAGATTACTGATAGCAGTGCAGTAATTAGTGAGAGTCTTTAACTGGTATGCTCCTTTCCTACAGCTCTAAGCTTTACAAGAAGCATCCTCTTGTGTATTCCAGTTGAGAATTGCCCCCTTAAGGGCTGTTATTTCTGCGTGCCTCAAGGCAACTGAAGTGACAGTTTTGTTTTGTTTTGCAGAGCTGCAAGAATGTCAACATGATGGCTGGTGGTTTCAATGTATGTTGTCTCTTTGTATTGTTTCTTCTTCTGAACTGTCGTTTCAGGAAAATGATCTCTGTAACTTTCATTTTGATTTGGATTTGATGTCTTGGGACTCGGATCTTTGGAATATTACAGGCCATGCTTATGCAGGTAATTTACCTTTTGTATATTGCAGGTGTGACTATTTCCCCCACCCCTGAGGGTGAGCTGTTATGATTTCAGGGTAGTGGTAACTTACGTGAAACTATTTCATGTCCTGCAGCGTTTAGCTCTGGTGAGAACTCATGCTGTGTTTCTGTAGGATGGGTACAGCTGGCGAGGACTGCCCTACAAGCTAAGATATTTAGTATCTTTGGTCTCGCTACGTTTTATGCCGTGCCTTGCTTCAGGAATTAAATAGCTGGTGTAGGGCAGTGTGTTCTTTACTGATCTCCTACTGTTAAACACTTGTACAGTAAAATTTCTTTATCTGCTTCTTGCAGATGCAAGCGTGAAGACAGAACCTTTATCACCAGCCACTTCAAATTGTTCGGTCCCGTCTCCATCGTCTGTGGGCTCTCCGGTGCAGAATGTGCCTGTATGCAGAAATCTCCATGTAACACAGATAGCCTCAGTCATTAAGAACCAGCTGTGACAAACAAAAAGCCCAGTGATTTACTTGTCTGACCAACTTCATGGCATGAGAGGAAACAGCTTAATTTTCTGACCCGTGCAAAACCAGCTTCCCTTCAGTACTGTTTTCCTTCCTTTCCTGCTGTGACCCGCTCTAAAAAGAGCGTGTTCAGTTCTGTTTCCTCAGTTGTATGCATTGGCCTTGTTGCTAAACAAAATGCCTTCTAAAGTCTAGCAGTTGCTGGCCTTTGCCCCACTTCACTCTGCTCATAAGGAGAGGTGCTACTTTGATTTTCAGTGGTACTTAGCATCAGTTAGAATAAAACCTTTCTCCTGTTTGCTGAGTCAGCAACACAGATGCGATGAAACGCTATTATACTCCGAAATGCTGCTAGGCACTTTTAGGTGTTTCTGAAGCCTTAATCTCATGTACTTTCTGTCTGCAGGATGATGTGGACTTCAGCTGTAGCTCCCAGATGTCTCCCATCTCTCTCTACAGCAAGAGCTGCAGAAGTCCTGCATCTCCTGAAGGAGAAGGAGGGAAGAAGCCTGCTGTCAGCATCACTTCTCGGTCTGGTATGAAAGATTGAGTTACTTTGATTCTGCTGATAGCATGCGTGTCGTCTTGCATACAGATGTTTAACTAACAGACACTATTGTATCCTACCATTTTTGACTTGAATCTGTGATCAGATGTGTCTATTTTTAACAAATATTATAGATGGGTTGAAAAACAAACATATCAAAAGCCGTGTTATTGCTGCATGATTTCCTTATTTTATGTCTTCTGGTCTGACTTTGACTCTCTTTCTTTTCCTAGCAAATAATTCTGCAAGGACCCTGAAGAGGTGTGGTCAGACAGCATCCAGGCCTTCGATACAGCCCAAACCCCTTCTGCCTGCTGTACCTGAGGCTCAGGCTAACATTGGCATCCCAGCTAAAACCATCATTATTCAGACTCTTCCCACACTTGTGTCACTGCCAAAGCATCAGCCAGTTGTTAATATCCAGCCAGCACCCCCTAAAGGTGGGTGAACTGTCTTGGCTGAGCCAGGTCTTGGGGGTAAACACTATGTTTGTCTGAGATGGTTGCTAGAATTAAGTTAGCTTTGGCAGTTGAAATGGGAGATGGAGGGGAAAAAATAGCGGTCCTGCACGCTTTGCTGAAAAAGCTTTAGGCTGAGAAGATGGCCTTATTCCTCTCTTATATAGTCCTAAGAGAAACAGCACTTACCTGGGCATTGTGTGGAATGGAAGATAGTATAACAAAAGAGACTACGCTGACTACTAGACTGGCAGTTGTGGAGATAAAACTGCTGATTTGGAAGGATCTCTGGGGACCCGTTGCTCTAATTGCGATGGCAAGTGGTGCAGAAGGTGATTA